ACTTAGTTCCCTAATGTAATGAGACTTTTTGTAAGACTTTACAGGACAACAAGGGAAGCAGAAATTTGAAGCAAAGCCAACAGCCACAGAGCAAACTCCATTCCAGCCCATATTGGACTTCTCTCACTTCCTCTGATAGGCCATGTTCTCTCCCTCCACTGGGCCTTTTCACATACTATTTCTCCCCCTCCACAATGATCTTTGCCCTTCTGGGTAAATCCTACTCAATCTTCAGGTCTCCACTTAATCTTCCCTTCTTTATTCTCATAAGACCTTGTACTTTAGCTTTGAAAGATAAATCACAATAATTTCCTTCCCCACAGACTGCACATTCCATGAGGTGCAGCAAGTACCATGTCTGTCCTTTTCACTCCCTCAATTCCTGGCCATTGTGTGTATCTAACAAGTGATCGTGGAAAAAGAAATATCTGAAGCTCTGCAGAGTGACTGCATCTGGGAAGTCATCTGTGCATGTGTCACAACTACAATTAGAAATATTACACAGTATATAATCTTTATTTGGATGACTATAAATTAGAAATTTAATTTTCTATGTTAAAACTTCAAAAAAAAATTAACATGGGGCACCTGGGTGGCTCACTTGGTTAAGACACTGACTTTGGCTCAAGTCATGATCTCATGGTTTGTGGTGGGTTCAAGCCCCACATCAGGCTCTGTGCTGACAGCTCAGAGCATGGAGCCTGCTTTGGATTCTGTGTCTCCCCCTCTCTCTGCCCCTCCCCTGCTCATGCTCTGTCTCTGTCTCTGTCTCTCTCTCTCAAAAATAAACATTTAAAAAATGTAAAAAAATTAACATATATGAGCATTATGTTTTAGATCCAACAGGACAAGTAATAATAATCAAAAGAAGGCATTCTTCTTTTGCCTGAGGAGACCAGCTTGCAGTGGGTTGAGACTAGAGATTGTAGCTGTTGGTGATAATAAGTCCAGGTCGCACTGGTAGAGCATCTTTTCATATAAGTAGAACTTTAAAAAAGAAAAAGATTACTAATAAATCCAGCATGATATTCCAAGAGTGTGCCATGAACCAAAAGATTATAAAATCTGTCACCAATGCTGTAAAGAACAAATCTAGCAAAAACAATATGTAAGCATTCTATACACACAAAAAGATTCAAATTTGTCATAAAACATGATGAAATATCATGAATATCTATGACTGGCCATCTAACTTGGATGGATCTAGTGAATTAGTATTCAAACTAAGCCCACAAAATAGTCTCGAAAAGTCACAATTTTAATGTTCAGAAGCTTTTGACAAAATCCTTAAATGGAAAATATAAAAGAAATTTCTTTTATCTGGAACTAAATTCCAGTATAGTTAACATGCAGTGCTATATGAGTTTCAGGTGTACAATATAGTGATTCAACAGTTCTATACATCACTCTGTGCTCATCCTGATAACTGTGTTCTTAATCCCTTCACCTCTTTCAACCTCCCCCACTGGTAACCCCCAGTTTGTTCTCTGTAGTTAAGAGTCTGTGTTTGGTTTGTCCAATTCTGAGAATGACACAAGTAGCTCAGTGGAAATACGTAGATTTGTTTAAAATAGCGTCTCTGGCAAAAGCAGGATTGTGTGCACAGTTTCAATGACCTGTCCTTGCACAACACCAGGCAAGTCTATATCAATGGATTAAGATGCTATGCTGAGCCTACCTCTAGTTTTAGAGAAACCTGGTGCTTCATCTCTGCCTCAGTCATGATGGTTCCTGATAATCTGCTCGAGTTGTTTTACTTGGAAGAACACTGGAATCTATTTCTAATGAAAGATGCATGTAAATACACCCTCATCTCACTAAGGTCCCACAAGTGAGCTTTTAAAACAGTTTCTCCACAGGCCAATGGGTCACATTTGCATTTATTTCTGCTGTGTTTTCCTTTGGATTTGAGAAGGATACGTGAAAACTTAGGATCATAAACAATCAGCAGCAGCCTTCTTGGCCTGATTCATTTCTATACAGAGGTAGAAAGGTAGACCAAATGACATTTCTAGGATTTTTCCAGACTTATGCTATAACTATTATGAGAATGTTTTATGATTGGAATTGGCAAGCTTCTTTCCTGGGATTTATCATTACGTGCGCATATAGACTTTTAGGCTACACATCCCATACCGTGCCTAAGACACTTTAAGACTGAAAAATGTTTATCATCCTCTGCCAGTTAGCACAGAAGGCTGGAGAACTGCTTTGATGATGCCAAGTCACAGGCCCCATCCCTGTTCTACAGCCAGTTAATGTCAAACAAAGAAAAGATCTGTTCCCTGGCTAATGCGTTCACCTTGAATCTCAGCCAGCTCTTGGCTGCATGAATTTCAGTTAGTTTACCCCTGATCATAGGAGAAAACAGAAAAGGGAATGTAGGTGAATCAATGCAAAACCATCAACACTCTTGAAAAGAAAATCTAAATATAGTCATTTCCTACTCACAATGTCAAAAGCATCATCTTCTTAGAAGATATTATATATTCTACAATTTGATAAAACTCTTTTTTTAGCATCCTTAAGTCCTTTACTACATGTTGATTATTCTTGGAATGCTGATGGTGACAAGAGCCAGAATCTATATTAGGTATGGGTCATAGAGTGACATGAATTCATAGAGAACATGTATTTCCTGGCTGTAGTCACTACAGTATAATGGATTGTCTGACTCATATTTGAAATGAATTGAAGCAGGCTATATATACTCCTCTTCTTTCACTGGGTCTCTTTCCAGCTTATGGCCACATATAGATGGTACTTTAAACTTTGCTGAAAGATTTACCAGCCTTTCCATTTTAAATTTTAATGGAAAAATTAAAAAAAAAAAAAAACACGGAGCCAAATAGCTAGTTTCATCCTCAATCCCAGAACTTGGGGAAGAAATCCTACCTTTCACTTCAGATTCCTCTTTCTAAAACACATCTCCCAGAAATTCACATTTCTTCTTTTCTTCTAGGTCTTCTGGAGCACCCCCCCCCAAAGCATTATCCCTGCCGTGATATTCTCCTGGCCCCCAATATCCTTACCTCTTTACCTTGCTTTATTTTCTTCATAGCACTCATCTCTGTTACTGCATTTGGTAATTACTTGTTTATTTGTCTCTCTTACTCCCTGTTTCCTGCTATATCTCTAATGCTAAAACTATGCCTGGAATAGAGTAGTTGTTCAACATATATTTATTGAAAAATGATTTGATAAATGTGAACATAAATTAATAAATAGACATTATAACAGCAATAAAATGATGTGCATATATAGTGACACAATTTTCACACCAGCTTTGGCTTATTTTAAAATACAGCTTGCTTCTAATTACACATGACCTCAATCTTCCAAAGGAAAAGCCTTACAAAATCTGAATATTGGTTTATTTTCTGGCCACAGAGTTGCAAGTAATCCTTAGTTCTTTTACTAACTTTCTTTTTAACTTTTAAGCCAAGCTATTTTTTTTTGTACTGGAGGTAAAATTGACATAACATAAAATTAACAATTTTAAAGTTAATTGACACAGTCCTGTGTCATTTAGTACATTGACAATGTCGTGAAGCCATTACTTCTATCTAGTTTTAATATATTTTCATCAATAGTATTATTTTCAAAAAAAAACTAATTATTCATCTTGGAGTGAGAGAAAACTAATCCATCACATTATAAAATGGTAAATAAAGTGAAGGAATCAAGTATTTATCTCATTATCGCTAAGTAAGCTATTACATAGAGTAACCAAATACTAGATGAAGGAAAGTAGATAGATCTTTTTAAGAGTATTCCAACTGATAAATAAAAAAGAAATCATTAATTTGGTATTTCACTATTTGAGACCCCCAATAACTTTAGTGGATCTAGCTACTGAGCATAAGTGTGTACAAACATCACAAAAAGAAAGACATCTCAAAATTCTGTATCTTGGAATAAAAGAGCACAATATCATCTGTAGTTTTGCAAAAGAGAGAAAGTAGAGTTTGCCCAAGCCTCTGCACTTAATTGCCAATTTTCTAGAAACACAGAGGACAGGGAAACATGTTGAACTACACCATGATATGCAATCAGCAAAGACAAGACTGTGAGGAACTTTATAGGTCAAGTTCCCAAGTTCTTCAAACAATACATTTTAAGAACAGGCTGGAGGGGAAACCTGATTAAGAGACTTGAAAGACTTAACAATTGTTGTTAATGGGAAATATTAAACATAGTGTCTGAGGGTGCATATGCAAGGGTAAAAATATACAGAAATGTAAAGAAATGATAAATACAGAAGTTATGGATGTAGTTTCTTTGAAGAAGAGAGAGGAGAGATTCTGGTTGGGATAGGACATATAAGCTTAAAGTTATATTTCCTGATCTGAGTAATAGTTATCCGAGTGTAATTAAAAATTTATTAAATACAATAAAATAAAATAAAAATTAATTATGTTCCCTGTAGATCAGGAACAAGAGAAGAGTGCTGTTTTTCACCACTGCTATTCAATATTGTACTGGAAGTTTGGGGCAGAACAGTTAGGCAAGAAATAGAAATAAAGGTATACAAATGAGAAAGGACTAAGTATATTTATCTCTCTTCACAGATAGCATGATCCGATATATAGAAAACCCCACTGAATATGCATGCATATGTGCACACACATACACACACACACACACACACACACACACACACACACACAAAGCTATTAGAGGTATTTAATGAATTCAGCAAGGTTTCAGAATATAAGACCAATACACAGAAATCAGTTGTCTCTATATACACTAGCAGTGAACAATCTGAGAAAGAAATTTAAAAAAAAATTTCATTTACAATAACATCCAGAATAAAATACCTAGGAATCATTTTAACCAAGGAGGTGGAAGACTTGTAAAATGAAAGCTACAAAACACTGAAGGAAATTTAAAAAGACCTAATAAATTGAAAAACATCCCACATTCATGGATTGGAAGACAAAATATTAAGATGTGATTATTACCAAGGTAATCTACAGATTCAATGTAATGCTTACCAAAATTCCAGTAGCCTTCTTGTAGAAATGGAAAAGCAATGTTCAAATTCATATGAAATTGCAAGGGGCTCTGAATAGCCAAAACAATCCTAAAAAAACAAGAACAAAGTTGGAGGATTCATACTTCCTGATTTCAAAACTTACTACCAATCAAAAAAAAAAAAACAATAAAAAACAAACAAACAAACAAAACTTACTACAAACCTACAGTAATCAAAATATTGTGGTGCTGAAATAAGAATAGACATATAGACTAATGGAACAGAACTGAGAGTCCAGAAGTAAGCCCACACATCCATGGCTAATTGATTTTTAACAAAGATGCTGAACCCTTTTAAGGAGGAAAGAACAGTCCCTTCAAAAAATGGTGCTGAGACAACAGTATATGCACATGCAGAAGAATGAAGTTGGCCCCTTTCCTCACACATCATACAAAAATTAACTCAAAGAGATCAAGGACCTAGATATAAAACCATAAAATTCATTGAAGAAAACTTAGGATAAATCTTCATGACCTTGGATTGGGAAATGGATTCTTAGAAACAACATCAAAAACACAACAACAAAAATAGATGAATTGGTCTTCATCAAAATTTAAAACTTTTGAGCATCAAATATCATTTCTAAGAAAATAAAAAGACAATCTATAGAAGGGGTAAAAATAGTTGTAAATCATGTCTGTTAAGGGTCTCTAGTATCCAGGCTATATAAAGTACTCGTACAAATTTAAAAAAAAAAAACAAAAACAAAACACAACACTCAATTTAAAAATGGGCAAAGGACTTGAACAAGCATTTCTCCAAAGTAAATATACAAACAGCCAACAAGCACATGAAAAGATGCTCAACATCATTAACCATTAGAAAATACACATCAAAACTATGAAATACCACTTTACACCCACTGAGATGGTTAAAAATAACAACAGAAGCAGCAAGAACAACAACAAAAACTAGAAAATGACAAGTGTTGATGAGGATGTGAAGAAATTGGAACCCTCACATACTGCTAGTGGGAAAGTAAAGTGGTCCAACCACTATGGAAAATAGTTTGGCAGCTCCCCAAAAACTTAAAGATAGATTTATGATATCGTGTTTGCCAGTGACTGAGAGAAGGGCAGAATGGAAAGAAAATTTGTAACGGGTAAGAGGTTTCAATGTAGAGTTGTGGAAATGTTTTGAAACTAGATAAACAAAAGTAATGGTTACCAATATTGTGAAATGTCCTAAGGGCCACTGAATTGTCCACTTTAATAGTTTATTTTGGGGTAGCTGCATGACTCAGTTGAGGATCTGACTCTTGATTTCAGCTCAGGTCATGATCTCACAGTTCATGGTATTAAGCCCCACTCCAGGCTCTGTGATGACAGCACGGAGCTGCTTGACATTCTCTCTCTCCATCTCTCTCTGCCCCCTCCCCTGCTCACTCAATCTCTCAAAATAAACTTAAAAAAAAAAACCACATAAAATGGTTCATTTTATGTTCTGTGAATTTCACTTTAATAAATGCTTTTTAAATGCATTTAGCTATTAAAAAACATAACCTACAATAAACTCTGTGGGACAGACTAATGTGTAAATGTATTTTTCTTCGGAGAGGGGAAAAGAAGGGAGGAGATGCATATTCTGAAATGGTTACTTTGGACAAGGAAAGGTCGAGCTCTCTTCCTGGCTCACATCATTATGGTAATTATTTCATAAAATGAAAAGTTTCCATTTCCCCTATGTATCCAGTTCATTCTAACACATTTCCTCTGGCTTGGTGACAGCCTGTTTAAACATATGTTTCTTGTATTTTACAGACATACTTGGCAAGTGCAAGACAAAATTGACGCAAACAATGTGGCTTACACAACCGGGAAGCTAAGCTTTCACACTGATTATCCAGCCCTCCATCATCCACCTGGGGTAAGGTGAGCCTCAACATATTTTCCACAAGGCAGGCCAAGGACCAATATCCTTCTATATTTTGAGTCTACAAGTCCATATATTTCACTAACTAATCTGTCTTATGTAGATCTTCAAGCACAATCTAAACAAAATGTCTATACCTAAATCTTGAATAGCCTAACATTCCCAAGGGAGAGAAGATTTTCATGTATTTAAAAAAATTTTTCTTTGTTTCTTTCTGGAAATAATTATTGGCACATTTTGCTTTGCCTAGACAAATTTTATGATAGCAGTGCATCTTGAGGTCTTTTTGCATATTTACTGTTCCCAAGAGACTTAAAAGAGAAAATAAAACCAGGGAATAAAATTGAGGGTTTTCCCATAAAGTCACATGGCCATCATTTGTATCAGTTAAAGATTGCTGCATAAAAACCACTTCATAATTTAATGGCTTAAAAGAATAGCCATTTACTTAGCACATGTTTTTATAATTCAGGCTATGTCCAGCTGGACAGTTCTGCTGTTGGGCTGGCTAAAAACTGGTTGACCTGTGTGGAAAACCTAAGGTGTCTTGCCTCTGCTCTACTTAATCTGCTATCCACCAGCAGGCTAGCCCAGGCTTATGCAAATTTTCAGAGAGCAAGCCAAAACATGAAGGCCTCTTGAGATCTACATTAGTCATCAGTGCTATGTCACCTCTGCCATGTTTTATTAATCTAAAGAAATCATAAGTTTAGCCTACCTTCAAAAGGTGAGGAAGTAAACCCCACCTTTTATGAGCTGCAAATACTCACTACAAAGGGGTGGGAATGCAAGGAGCAGAATAAACATGGCTGTACGTAAAACCTTGGATCGCAAGTAACTTGTTCTGCAACTGTTCTGCAAGATGAGCAAAGATTTCTAATAAATTTTAACTTGATAAACAAGCATGTCTTGCAATATGAGTAGTACATGATGCCAAATGTCACATGACCACAAGTGAGCCAATGGTTCTTAAAATTCGCTTTGATATACAAGTGCGTTGGATTACAAGCATGTTTCTGGAATGAATTATGCTCGCAAACCAAGGTTTTACTGTATTTGGAAACCATCTACTCTCCCATGTATCGGATTGCTCCTCAAGGAGGGAGATGCTTAGCATGGAGCCACAAACCCTCCAGGACAATTTCTGGAAGGATGCTCTGCCACTGCATTTTTACAAAATTGCCATTCTACTAAACCAGCAACATATTTACAAAATCATCATTTTGTTAAACCAAGAAATAAATGGCCAGAACGATACCTTTGAAAGATATCTTGTTCCTATTTTTGTAGCTAAATGAGATTAAATGAAATCTCCACACAGAAATCTGTATCTTCAAAGGTAAGCAGAACTGGACATTGTGAGCAATTCTCTAGCCAGTGAAGGCAAAATGGGCCAAAATCAAAATTAATCTGTTTTTCTTCATCATGTTAACTGAACAAGTTTTCTCCGTGCCCTAGTTAACCCATTTTCCTCACCAGTGTTAACTAAGCTAGTTTTAGTATTTAATTTCACATGTTTTAAATTATTTTGTTGACTGTAAAACACCACATGATTTTTTTGGACAAAATGATGACAGTGACAGGAGTCCTATAGTCACCTTTTGGGCGGAGATGAGGGGCCAGTGAAGACACACAATGTGATTTGTTCTAAATGTTTCCCAGAGATTCACTAAAACTTGGGATTAAAAGCCAAACTAATCAGCTCAGTTCATCAACCAAAGACAGGTTGGAGAAGTTGGATGCAATAAAAAAGATTACACTAGAAAACTAAAGATTCTATTTTAATTTTTAAATCATCTGCTAGTTTTTATGAGTTCAGGTTTTATTGCTGGGTTACAATTGAAAGCCTAAGGAAAGTCATTACATAATCACATTTTTAAGTGATTTACCAATATTCTTGAAGTATAATATAATGCTTGACATTTTCATAGCATTTTATACTTTTTCAAAGTATTTTTACTTATATTATTTTGATCCCTCCTAACATTCTGTAAGGGAGACGATTATGCCTTTTTATGTTGGAATAATGAAATGAGGGTGAAATGACACACAGCAAGGTTAAATGCTTTCACAGGGTGACATCTGACTAATAGAACACTTGAAACTTAATCCAGGCCTCTGTATAGTTTTTCACCACACCATGCTGGTCTTGAGTTGGACTTTCTAATTACCATAGTTGGTATAATGTGATGAGCATAGGCTTTGTCATACATTAAAAACTCGTCAAATACAGGAACTGAATCTTACACTTTTCTGTATCTTGAGATTAACCCAGCACCTTTCATGTAACAGAGACTTCATAGATATGCTATAAAGAGGCAGAGAAACACCGCAGAGTTGTACCTGTCTCTGTCAGCAAGTGAAACATTCAAGGATAAAAGACCTGACAGAAGATTTTCAAATGAAAGAGGATTCCTAAAATGTCTAGATTGTAGTACGGGAACAATTAGATTGTAGGTACCTGTTTGTGCTATTGTTCAAGTTTCCATTTTGAATCATTCAGGGGTCTCTGTACTAAAGTTTGAGGTTTTTTATGACATATAGAATAAGTCGCTTTTCTTTTCAGTGCAGATGAAATGATCTGAATAGTAAGTTACCTGTTGAAAGTGGAGTTTCATCAATTTGGATCATGTGGGGCAGAGATAAGGAGACACATCTTTAATGAAACGGATGTTCCTTTGCTCACTGTCTTTGGCCAAAAGTCACATGCTGCCATAAAGTAACATTTAGAAAGAAAATGTTTTTGGTCCTGAGTGACTTACATGAAATAAAATTGGATTTTATACACATCAGGCACCTATTTACCTTTTGAATCAGCCGTGGAAGTGTTGTCTGGCAGCATCAGTCATCTTTTTTCTTTCTTAAGATTGCATCTATGTAAAAGACATCGGTTGATCTGTTTTAAAGATTTATATTTGAAATATTCTGTGACTTCATTATGGCAAAATCTAAGAGGATTGAAAGAACACTGATTCTCTCAAAGAGAGAGGTCTGTCATTATTTTGCCTTTTTAGAGTTTGGTAGACTTGAGGTTGGTGTCTTCATTTCTCCCTCGTTAATCATGCTGCTTGACCCTTCATAGCCTGGTGATGAAATGGTTTTCTAAGATGACTTGGTCAGCTTATGTACATACTTTTTCAAGCCTACAAATTGGCATCAATTTAAAGGCAGAACCATTATTAATTTAGACTAGTGCTCCCCTAACATCAGAAAAAAGGGCATTGTCAACCTGAAATGGGAATTTAAGTTTACAAAGCACATACATACACACACCACACAATACTGAATTATTAAGAGTCCTGTAAAGGGATTTCCCCTTTTATAGGAAAGGACTTGCTTTATGAAGATTTTGAAGCAAATAGATCAAGGTTTGAATGTCAGTGTTACCAGGTAGTAGCTACGTTCTTACTAGCTGCCCAGCTTTTTCACTTCTGGGTGTCAGTTTCTTCAACCATAAAATGGAGATGAAAGTATCAAATTCT